TGTATGTATACATCTGTATCGACGTCAGTATATATCTGCGTAATTACGACGTAGATAGTAACTTTTGTTTGATAGCGTTTTTTTTTTAGATTGCTCACTAACTATAAAACTCTTCCCGTCAAATTTATTCATACTTTGTTAGTTTTCGCTTAAACTTACTCGATGAATATTGCTCTTCTGTAAGAGATCTCAGTTACATATGGTATGGTCACTTACTATATATGGTATGGTCACTAGCTATATATGGTATGGTCACTTGCTATATATGGTATGGTCACTTGCCATATATGGTATGGTTACTTGCTACTAATCGCTTTAATTCATTCATCCTGCAGGTCGAGGCCAAATTAGTGGTGGTAGAGAAGGCCTCTATCGACGACTACCTTGCTGAAGCAGGTATATGCCAAATGGGTAACGAGTCTTTCCGTGTAACTTCTGACGGATCATGCACACACAAAGAATATCATTGTTGTGTGCGTTGTATATTCCAACTTCACTGAGGTACACAACCAATCAGCTGGTGTAATGCTGCGCCAGCATTACATACCGCACATGTGGCTGTTTGGTCTGTCTATGGCAAGCGATCATAAATAGCTAGACCTGACCATCGAGTCCAATTGGTGGGTCTCACATTGTTGCCCAATCCATTCATATCCAGCCCTCACTGGCCCAACCCATCACTCGTTTAGGGGCCATGCCACCGCAATAGCCACACCACTACACTCATCTGCTATACGTAGAACTCTAACCACACCCTATAACGCCCCTCTGCATTGCATGACACTCTAAGGTAAAATTGCCGAACTGCACACACAACTGCGGTCGTGCGATGCCATGCTCAGCGCAATGGAGGAGATGCTGACTGTGTTCCAGAAGGACTTGGGGTCCATCTCCACAGACATCCAGACGCTGCAGTCGCAGAGCATTGTTATGAATGAGAAGCTCAGCAACCGCCGAGCTGTCGAAGCCAAGCTTAGTACTGTGATCCACGAAGCGGTAGGGCGGGAGGGGTTAACAAGTGTGTTTTTGGATGATATTATATATATTATTATTATTATTATTATTATTATTATTATTATTATT